AACGTTCCCACACAAACGGGCCCACAGAAACGTGCCCACAAAAATGCCTCCGTAGAAACGACCCCACAGAAGCGTCCCCACAGAAACACTACCACAGAATCCCGCTCACACACACGTGCAATTACAGAAAACGCTGCCACAGAAACGTCCCAACAGAAACGCGCCCACACTGAACCCTAACAGAAACGTCCCCAAAGATACGCACGCACAGAAGCGCCCCAAGAGAACGGTCCCTCGGAAACTCTTCGACGGATATGCACCCACCGAAACAACGAACTTAACTTCTGAGTGCCTAAGTCCCCGAAACTCCCATCGCAGATTCGAAAAAGGAGACAAATCATAGGGCACGCCGTTTTATACTCGACTCGCCCCCGGGTTCCCGGTAGAAGAACATCAAGGCCAGACAGACACTTTTCATCATATTTGCCCATCACCAAGCAACAAGGTGTTCTAAAGTATAACGGGTTAAAAAATCATTCAACATGTATCTTCTACATACCACTCAACCATACTGTTTCAACAATATTTATCCGACCCCCCCCGGGTTACCAACGCCATCGCAGTCTCATTGAACGATGTCGCTAGACGATGCGGAGATCGCCGTCAAAACCGACTCCGTCGCCAGCTACAGTTGCGGCGACGACAGACCCACGGATACGGGGTTTTATCAAGAGGGGCACGCTTTTTACCCATCCCCTTCGACGACGTGATCCCCGGAGGTTCGACGTTCAAGGGGCGGCAGGCGCTGGCGGGGCCCCCCGACTGTTCCGCCCTAGGGGTCCCAGTCCCAAACACTAGGACCTGGGCCTTGGGACTGCCGGGCAAACGCGCAGGACCTGAGAGAGTTGGGAGTCCTATTCCCACAATTTGGCCGCGTGGCTTCCAAGCAAGGTTGGGAAAGTGCACTTGGTTTGGGTGGTAACCAGTGCTCTCAAAGTCGCTCTCTGGCTTCCTCAATGTCAACGTCGACGCCGACGTCAACGTCAAATGCCTGCAGAACTCAGCATGAGTGTCGTAGAATTTGTTTGTAAGCAGTTCTTGTAGGTCGTGTGCTGCGCAAACCTGTTTCTGTGTGCGTGTTGGAGGCGCAATTTTCCACGTGCGCCGAGTTTTGTTTGTTTGTACTTTCTGAAAATGGGCTGATTCTGCTTGGTTTCCCGTTTTTTCTTTTCTTTGTGACTGAATGGATAAATTCCGGACGCGGGGGTGTTCTCGAAATTCCATAGGCGTAACCAGGGTACGATTGTGCGACAGTTACCGGGGTACACGGGAGAAACAATGAATGCCATCCATGTTCCTAGGGTCCTGCCAAACGGGTAAACACGGTCCTACCTTCAGGCCCAATTTGCCAACGATTTGAAGGCGCCCGTTACTAGAGTACGCGCCCAGAAAAAAACGTGGGCCTCTCTCAGACCTCTAGTGTAAAACTCTTTTTTGGTCTTCCACCTCACACCACGCCCCCTCTGCCTATCCCGCTCTCCGCCTCGTCAGCAGCCGCGCACCAGCAGCACGCTGCATTGCATTGTCAACTACAGTGCTTTCCCCACCCAGCGAGTCCCCCTCACCCTGCGCTTGCACGTCCAGAGAGTGCTCCCTTCCTTGCACGTCACCCCACCTCACCATGGCACACGTACCGCAACAGAGAGCTCCCCCCCCTACTGGGGAAAGAAGTGGGAGTTCTTCTTGCCATCTCCACTCTCGTCGTGCACCTGTCGGACACTTCCTCGGATTGTAGGAGAGGAGATATCCCCGCCTGGGACTTCGAGTCTCCCCCGCGCTAGAATCTCGTTCCCGCTAGTACTGCCTTCCCGTGCTAGATCCCCCCCTACGCAAGATCCCCCCCTGCGCTACTACTGTTGCCAGCAGACACCATGCGGCAGAAGTACAGAGCCCACCAAGCCCAATTACGGGATGCTTGTCGCCGTCTACCTCTAGTGGCCCGTCAAGCTGCAAGCGCAGCTAAGTTGGAGCGAAAGAAATACCATTGCCAGACTGGCTATTGGCTTCAGGATGGAGCAAGTGTCACTCTACTTGTCCATTCCGCACGAAGCCTCTTTGTTTTTGGCCGAACCAGGGCGCTCGTCGCCCCGTGCCAAGCCAAGTGGCATGTGTTTGACCCCCCCTTACTCGTTGCTAACCTGTAGATGTCGCACACCCACGATTCTACTCACAACCTCTGAATTCCTGAGACAAGACTCCAACATGCTCAACGTGCCCTTTCCAACTACTTTCCAACTACCCAAGCACCGAGGACGGTGCTTGCTGGAGAGGGGAATAATGTAACAAGTCGTTGACGAACTCGTGAAATGAAGTTTCGCCAGCTCAACAAAATCTAATTTAAGGTTGAAACCGAACCTTGAAATACACCCTTGGGGAATTCGAAGGTTGAATCCAACCTCGAATTGCTCAACCCTTCAATATGAGTTTCCAACCTTGGGAACAACTACAGAGGGCACGCAACCCATCCAAGCAACACAGCAGAATAATCGACACCGCACCTAGCGGAAAACAACTACAGCCATGGTTTCTTCTAGCACAGTTATATCCCACCATTTCTACAAACGTCGTCAGCAACAGCAGTACAAGGAAGACTATGCTAGCATGCAATAGTTTTTTCCAAGACTATGCATGCTAGTTTCTAGAATTCCAGCCAAGCTGAGTATGCATGCATGCAATCATTACCTATGCCTTGCTGTTCTTAGCTTAGCAAAGATGAGAAGCGACTTGGGCAACCTTCTCGAGGCGCCTTAGTCATTCTCCTTGTATATAGTGGTGTGCTTCTTGACTGGAAGCCATCAGGTGATCCCTAGTAAAGCTACTTTGGTACTTCTACCTTGGAGTCTTCCAAGAATACCTCCTAACTCTAATATCTACTCCAAACAGCCTAGTGGCTGTTTCATTTGGCTATCAGAGCTTTTTTCGAGCCTCTTTTTTTAGAACTCGTCATGACGACTAATGGGCCCCCTTCTCCTGACGATTGGGCTGGTTTTTTGCAAACCTACCGAGCCCAAATCATTTCTGAGTTTAGAGAAAGCTTGCAGGCAGAACTGCAAGCCAGTATAGCTGAAGTTGGAGTGGTGGCATGCGTGAACCCTGCTGCACTATCAGATGGAAATCAGCGTGCTAGACCCACTCTTGTTTTTTTCCTTCCCGGGAGAAATCAGCCAGTCGTGAGCCGATGGCTCTTTCTCGTAGAGAAGTACTAGCTGCTGAGCCACATAGCACCTGCCGAATGGACTGCCTTCACCGGAACTCTTCCCCATGGTTCTGCAATTGCATGGTGGCAATCTGCGCATGCATCTATCACCTCTTGGGAACACTTCAAGCAAGTCTTCACGTACCATTTCAACCCGTGAACCCAAAACATCAAGGCACGAGACTCCTTGGCTGCCCTCAAGCAACTGAAATCTGTCCAAGAGTATGCCTCTCCGCTTCCGTGACATCACTAAAAAGATTCCGGACCTCTCCTTGCCGAACAAATGGATCGCCTCAAGCGTGGATTGAAGCCAAACGTGGGCATGGAGGTGGAGCTGAGAGACTGCACCATGCTCGAGGAAATGATACACTTGGCTGAACGGTATGATGCTGTTCCCTTTGCCTGCAGCAAGCCTCGTTTTCCTCGCAGCCCGCTTCTCCGTTTGCTCCCTCCTACCAGTCCTTCACTTCAGCAGAACAACAACTAGCAAGAACCCGCTCCTATGGACCTGGACTGATGGAAAAAAGAAAACGGAACATGAGGGCACCCTTCGCGTGTTTCAAGTGCGGCAAGAAAGGACACATGTGGAAGTACTGCCGCGGGCGCACCAATCAATCGCCTCTTCTTCCAACGCCGGGAAACGGAAGTCGCCAGTGAGTTTGGGGCAGCTTCCTGGTAACAAAATCAGCCCCTCCATCTCTTCTCTTGAGAGTCCATAGCCCTTCTAAACCTTTGCTTCTCCCCATGAGTATCCGAGGTCAAAGAGTGAAAGCCTTAATTGACAGTGACGCTTCTTCAAATTTTATCTCCTCCTCTCTACTTTCCAAGCTTTCCCTTCCAACCCAACCTAAATCGCTACCCTGAGACAGTGTTGATGGCAAATGGAACTTCAATTCCATGTGGACCAATACCTTCTCTGTTCTTAGTACCATTGGACCTTACAAAGCCAAAATTCAATTTCAGCAAGCATCCCTTGGAGACCATGAAATCATTCTTGGGCATGATTGGCTGTCTATTGCTAAATCCCAATATTAATTGGACCCTTGGAACTATTACAATCTCTAACTCTGGAAGGGACATAACCTTATCTACCCTTTCTTCCTCTCCTTCCATACCACTTGTTGTAACCTTCTTTCAGCAAGACAGTTAAAAAAATATTTTAAAGACCCAAGTGCTCAATTCTTTCTTTGTCTTTTGAAGAAGATCTGTGAAAGTCCTTCTCCCTCTTCCCCTTCCAAGGCTGTTGAGATCCCTTCTGAAATTCAACAGGTCTGGATGACTTCAAAGACATATTTTTCTCAGACCTGAGGTAGATCTCAGAACTACCTTCGTGCTACCTATCGGATGAGTGCTGCCAAGCTGCAAAAGTCCAGAAGCAGCTGGAAGAGCTTCTTGAGAAAGGGCTTCATCCGAGTCAGTACCTCTCCCTATGCAGCACCAATTCTCTTCGTGAAGAAGAAGGATGACAGCATGCGAATGTGCATCGACTATCAGGCACTCAACAAGATTACCATCAAGAACTGCTACCCTCAGCCACATGTGGAAGAACTCTTTGATCAACTCGACAAAGCCACAATTTTCAGCAAGCTGGATCTCTGAAACGGATATCATCAAGTTCATGTCACTGACAAAGACATCGAGAAAACTGCATTCAGAACTCGGTATGGGCATTTCGAATTCCTAGTTCTTCCTTTTGGACAAACAAATGCCCGTGCCACTTTCATGTGCTTGATGAACAACGTCTTTCGTGATTTCTTGGACCGGTTTGTCATAATCTTCATTGATGACATTCCGATCTAAAGCAAATCATTGAAAGAACATGCTGAGCAACTAAGACAAGTGTTCACCCAACTTCGTAAGCATCGCCTCTTCGTCAAACAGAGCAAGTGTGAGTTTGCAAAGGCCTCGATTCCTTTCTTGTGCCATGCCATCTCACACAACCAGCTTGTCATGGATCCCTCCAAACTCAAAGCCGTTCAAGACTGGACACCCCCAACTTCTATGAAAGAAGTACAAGCCTTCCTTGGCCTTGCTAACTACTACTGCAAATTCATCCGCCACTTTGCTGCTATCACCTCCCCTCTATCCAATCTCCTCCGCAAGAATGAAGGATTCCATCGGGATTCGGACCAGAAAAAAATCTTTGACTCTATCAAATGTGCATTAACCTCTTCTCCTACCCTAGTCCTATCTGACCCTTCCCTCCCTTATGTGATGTGGACAGATGCCTCTCATGTTGCAAAAGGTGCAATCCTTTGTCAGGATCAAGGACATGGCCTCCAGCCCATTGCTTTCGAACCTCGGAAGCTTAAGCCTGCTGAGTGCAACTATGCTACTCACGATCGTGAGGCACTGGCCATCGTCCATGCAATCAAGAAGTCCATATGCATGTCCATATGCAATCAAGTGGCGTTGCTATGTCCATATGCAACCCGTCACTGTTCTTACTGAACATTGCACCCTGCAATACCTGAAGACACAACCCCATCTCACCCCTAGACAGGCTCGATGGATGGAGTATCTAGAGCAGTACGTACAGTGACGAAAATAAATGGGCTAAAAAATCGGCTGCATTAAATAAACATTGTGATTTAGGCATGATATGTTGTCATAACTCGACTATCACAGATAGCATAGTGTGCCTCTTGACCTCAGCTACTTTATGCAGTTGGGTGTTGTAACTTTTATCGAATTTCTTGTAAAGAGTACACTCATACGCCACTGTCACTCGATGCGGACATTTTAGGCCAACATCGAGTCCATATCTATTTCCAGCCTGGATTTCGCGATCTCGCAATCTAAGCTTCTGTTCTTTTCTCGATAGTACAGCGATAACTACGCCAAGCTCCTATCTATGATGCAACCGTTTTGTTCGAGCCAGAAAGATAGGATCGCGACCCTGCTTTGACAGGGTAAGAGTTTTTGACAAATCGCAAGGGCATTAGGAATAGGGAAGAGCATGGTACAGAAATACGCACACAAAGCCGCCCAGCGCACGAGCAGCCTAGCGGTCAGGCCGATTATTCCTAGGAACGGCCGATCGTGCATACTCTCGGTACGTGATAGGCGCTCACTGGTTCAAGCATTCACTTCCGGCCATGCGAAGACTAGCATAGAAGCCGCGGAACTGTTAGAATCAGAGCGCGGCATCAACATCTGCCCTAGAATTGTGCGCAACGCCCTGAAGCAGTCTGGTTTAGTAGCCGTCCTGAAACCGAAGAAGCCGTGCCTTTCTGCCCATAACATCAGAGACCGCCTCGATTTCGCCAAGGCGCACCTTGACTGGACTATGGAAGACTGGAAGCGGGTGATCTGGTTCGATGAGACCAAGATCAATCGCTTTTCCAGTGATGGCCGCACGTACGCATGGATACGCAATGGGGCGGCCCTGCAAGGTCACCAAGTGCAGCAAACCGTCAAGCATGGGGGCGAGACATTAATGGTATGGGGGTGCATGACATATGATGGCCCCGGATATATGTGTAAGATTGACGGCCGCATGGATGGGGAGCTATACAGAAGCATATTGCATGATGAGCTTGTAGAAACCATCGATTTCTATTATCTAACCCCCTCCGATGTCATCTTCCAGCATGACAACGACCCCAAGCACGAGCCGCCTTGTGCAGGCTTGGGTTTATGAGCAACAGTATTCAATCCTAAAGTGGCCCTCCTCCTCCCTTATCTCAACCCCATAGAGCACTTGTGGGCACACATCAAACGAGAGCTTGCCAAGTATGACCACCCCCCCACAGGGATGCTCCAGACTTGGAAGCGGGTGCAAGAGACATGGGACGGGATTTGGGCAGATGTGTGCAGGGGGCTCATTGACAGTATGCCGAGGAGGGTGAAGGCAGTGGTTAGGGATAAAGGGAGATGGACGAGGTACTAATTTTGGATTGTTAATTGCTTACTTTAAATTTGGCAAAAACTGTCCGAATACTTCTTGGTGAATATTATTCTTGGTGTTGCATAATAAACATGCCCTTTTAGGCTGGTTGACATGTGATCTTCTTGCTTAGGCGGCAGTCTACTAGTCAATTAAAGCCAGTTGCTCAAAAGTGTTTGTGTAGAAAATACATACGCATTTTAACATCACAAAGGGTCCAAATATGGACATTTTCTTCCGTCACTGTACCTGAGCTGAAAATCGAGAACCACGTTGGCCGCCTCAACCCTGCTGATTCTCTAACCCGGCCTCCACAATCTCAGCTCACCACCATCGGCAGTGTTACATGGGATGAAAGCTTCATCGGCAAGTTCATCAAAGGGTATCGTTATGGCCCTTTCTATCTCAACCTTGCTGCTAACAATCAACCCGTCCGCTATGAATATCCTTTCAGGTATAAGGAAGATTCCTAAGTCATCTCAGTCCAGCATATCGCAAGCTGCGTCACCTCCTGCTACGCGAGCATCATGACCAGAATGCACACTTTGGAGTGGACAAGACACTTGCAGCCATCTCTGCAAACTTCTTCTGGCCCAAGCTTTCTCATGACGTCCGCTCCTATGTACACAGCTCTCACATGTGTCAGTGCAACAAAGCTCGCAACACAGCTCCATACTGCTTGCTACACCCCTTGGAAATTCCTCAAGTTCCTTGGAGTCATGTCGCACTCGACTTCATCACCGATGCCCCTCGCACCTCCTCCCATTACAACGCTATCCTCACTGTAGTTGACAAGCTCAGAAAGATGGCTCACTTCCTCCCTACCTCCACTACTGTGACTGCTGAACATGTAGCTGATCTCTTCTTCAAAGAAGTGGTACGTCTTCATGGAATTCCTTGCGTCCTAATCAATGACTGTGATTCCCGATTTGTTGGCAGATTTTGCCAGTCCCTCTTTCAAAGAATGGACAGCAAGATTCGTCTCTCTACTGCCTATCATCCTCAGTCCGATGGCCAGACAGAGAGAATGAATCGAACCCTTGAAAATGCCCTTCGTACATGTGTGAATGCATGACAGAATGACTAGGACATGCACCTGCCTTCAATCGAATTCTCCTACAACAGCACAATCAATCTTGCCACCAGCCAAAACCAATTCTTCCTTGCTACAGGACAGCAACCTCGCACACCTGCATCACTTATCCGCACTACTGACACCCAGGCAGCAGCTGAATTCCTAATGTAACAAGACATCGGCGAACTCATGTAACGAAGTTTCGCCAGCTCAACAAAATCTAATTCGAGGTTGAAACTGAACCATGAAATACACCCTTGGGGAATTCGAAGGTTGAATCCAACCTCGAATTGCTCAACCCTTCAATATGAGTTTCCAACCTTGGGAACAACTAAAGAGAGCACGCAACCCAGCCAAGCAGCGCAGCAGAATAATCGACAGCGCACCTAGCGGAAAACAACTACAGCCATGGTTTCTTCCACCACAACTATATCTCATCATTTCTACAACGCCGTCAGCAACAGCAGTACAAGGAAGACTATGCTAGCATGCAATAGTTATTTCCAAGACTATGCATGCTAGTTTCTAGAATTCCAGCCAAGCTGAGTATGCATGCATGCAATCATTACCTATGCCTTGCTGTTCTTAGCTTAGCAAAGATGAGAAGCGACTTGGGCAACCTTCTCGAGGCGCCTTAGTTATTCTCCTTGTATATAGTGGTGTGCTTCTTGACTGGAAGCCATCATGTGATCCCTAGAAAAACTACTTTGGTACTTCTACCTTGGAGTCTTCCAAGAATACCTCCTAACTCTACTATCTACTCCAAACAGCCTAGTGGCTGTTTCACAGGATGCTTGTCGCCATCTGCCTCTAGTGGCCCATGAAGCTTCCAGCAGAGCTGAGTCTGGGTGAAAAAAATGACCATGGCTTCTGGATGGAGCCAGTGTCACTCTAGTTGTCCATTCTGCGCAAAGCCTCTTTGTTTTTGGTCAAATCAGGGTGCTCGTCGCCCCGTGCCAAGTCAAGTGGCGTGTGTTTGACCCCCCCTTACTCGTTCCTAATCTGCACACACTGTCTCTCGAAATATCACATGCAACTGGCACTTGTAAGATACCAAAACTCGGCCCGTGGCCGAGTCGCACCCAGCCTGCGGCACGCCTGGATCCAGACTCGTCACGGCCTTTTTGCGGCATTGCCTAGCCGCGCTTGCTCACACGAGTCATCCTCATGGCTCGCTGGCAGCAGCACTCACTGTGCTGGCCGCCATTTTGCGTGGAAAGCTGGCGCAGCGGCGAATAGGATTTGGGTCTTTCAGATTCGTCACTTCAATTAGACACCATGAATTGGATGCGGGTGTGCCAGCTATGGTCGTGTCATTGCCAGAAAAGCAGGTCTTCCCGCGCCAGCGCGCTCGTGGTCACCCATGCGGCGGCACTCGCTGAGAGACGTCCTCCCCACAGGAGGCTCTCCTGTCATAGGAGCTCTGAGCCGCTTAAATTGTGATGGATATGCGCAGTCTAGCAGTCAAGCGATTTCGAGCTGAGCCAAGTCCAGTGGCCATCAGCCCAACGGCGAAGAACTCATCTCGATTGGCGTTCTCTTACGGTCATTGTCAAAACTTCTACGATGGCTTCTGCTCTTGCTGCCCCTGCTCCTGCTAGTACTGCTCATGCTCCTCATGCTCCTCATGCTCCTCATGCTCGTCCTGCTCCTGCTGCCCCTGCAGCTCCTACTGCTGCTGGCACAGCCGCCACCCCAAGGGCTTGTGTGAGGCAGAAGGGCGGACAGCAGCACGCCCATGGGGCGAACGGCTGGAAGCAGGCAGCGGAGCCGCAGCAGCAGGCAGTGGGGCCGCGGCAGCAGGCAGTGGAGCTGCGGCAGCAGGCGGGGCAGTGGCAAGGGGTGGGCATCGTGCCTCAAAAGCAGTCACCAGGGGTGGGTATCATGCCGTTCCTCGAGGGCAAGCGCGTCCTCAAGTGAGTTTACATTGAGCTCTTCAAAAGAAACTGCGCTACGAGAACAACAACTTCAAGGTTGGAACAACCGTGACTGAAATCTGGTCAGCCAATCCAAACACCCTGGAAAGTTCCAAGGTGCCAGGTCTTCATTCCTCGGGACGTGTCGTGGGTAACCCACATCTTGCCAGCTGGTGCTCAGAAAGCCTCGCTCGAACGAGTAACTTTTGCAAGTTACGCCCAGCCTTCCGTGCGACAAAAATTATCTCAGTGTATAATCCGTGTGTAATGAGTCGATTTTTGAGTCGACTCAAAACGACCCCTAGTTTGAGACGGGCTGACACAGGTGTGTAGGTCGTCTTCAGAACTAGGGTTCCACGTGATGAGGGGAGAGAATGTCGTCGAAGTTGGTGGTTTGCGAGAGTGTTGGCGAGTAGTGTTGCGCGTTGCGCGAAAAGGACGCCCTTGAAGATCGGTTGAAGGAAAGCAGGGGGGTAACCCCGGCCGCGAAGCCGCTGGAAGAAAGCTTGCTTCGTTGCAAGAAAGGTGCGCATGGAGGTCGAACGCAGTAGATAACGCTGTAGTTCGGCGCGTATGAAACCCTCCTTGCAGTGCCGGGGGTGGAAGCAGGAGAAGGGAAGGTAGAGGTATCTGTTCATCGGCTTCTGAAAAGTGCCGAGGTCAAGACGACCGCACTCCTTGAAACACTGCCCCTTGTGAAGGACAACATCCAGAAAATCAACGGAGTGCTCCGAGATATTCCACGTGATCCTGATGGAAGGATCGAAGCCGTTGAAGGTTCGCAGGTACTCCTCCAGGTCAGCCCGCGAGCCTAGCCAAATGATAAGGCCGTTGTCGATGTAACGGACGTGGTAACTTGGTGATATCCCGGTCCACCTCTCCTTAAGCAGCTCATCGGGACAGCTCATAAAGAGGACCGCAAAGCAGAGTGCAACCGGAGTTCCCATCGCAGTGCCTTGTACTTGATGAAAAATCCTGCCGTCGAATTCCACGAAAGAATTCCTCATGACCCATCCCAAGAAAGCCATGAGCGGTTGAGGGAGCTGTGCTGGTGCCCTCAGAAGAAGATTGCTAACTGCTTCGAGCCCTCGATCGATGGAGATGCTTGGGTAGAGCGAGGTGACGTCGTAGGTGGCCAGGAGTACAGTTGGTGGAAAAACCGTAGCTTCCAGCTTCGCTAGCAAAGAGAGGGAGTCGCGCAGGTAGGTCGGTTGTTTGAGAACTAGTGGTCGTAGCTGAGAATCCAGCCATCGGCTCACATTAGTCGTGACCCAGGAGTGTGAGGCGACGATCGGTCGTCCCACGGGTACTTTCTTGTGAAGCTTTGGCAGGATATAGAATGCCGCTGGTCGCCATCCCCTGGCGGTCGATCGAAAAAATATTTCGAAAGACTGTTAGGAAAAGCAGGTCCCCACGTCGCCTTCAGCTCCGTCAGTTGCTGTAGAACAAAAGGAATTGGGTCGTGACGAACCGGCTGGTACACTGTCGCGTTGTCAAGATGCTCCATGCAGAGAGCGATGTAGTGCGCGCGATCCACCACAGTTACTCCGACGTTTTTGTCAGCAGGCTTGATGACGGTGTCGCTGTCGAGCGATAAGGAGCATAAAGCCGTGCGGACTCCTCGCAAAAGATTGAGTCCATGGGACGGCTTACACGCTTTCAGCAGGAAAGATAGGTCGGCTCGTGCCTCCTTGAAGACATGCTTCGGGACCACGTCCCGCTCGGGTCTCCAGCTTGGATTCTTCACCCGGAAACGTGATGAGGCTGAAGACCCTTGATCCTTGAAGTAAAGACTGAGGGAGATCTTTCGATGCAGTTGATCCAGATATGCTTCGATGAAAAAATTCCATGGCGGCGTAGGTACGAATTTGAGTCCCATCCCGAGCGCCTTGGAGCTCAGGTTGTGTACCCCCCGGTTCCGAACGCGCGACTGCACCTGCCGTAAAGTCAGTCGTCCGAACCGGCGGAGTGCAAGATCGCGTGCAGTTAGTTCATGCGCGGCCCTTTTCCTGGGCCGCCGCTGCCGTTTTTTGGAACTTGGGCCGTAGTCGAGGAAGATTGTTGGCCTTTCCCTCCGCTGCCACTTGGAGACTTTGTTTTCTTCTTGCCTTTCCCTCGCTTCTTCGGAGCCTTCGGTACATCTGCCACGTTCCCAGAAGAGTTATTCTTCGGGTTCTTGGACGGGTCCGCCTTGGGCTTCGAGGACGAGGGGGCCGGTTTGAGATCCTGCGATCCCATTGACAAACTCTTTTGGAAATTTGCAGTCAGCTTTGCCTCGACGGTCGCAGTGACGCTCGTAGTCATGCTCGCCACAACTTCCTTGCGCATCGCCTCGACTTGCCGCTTAGTAGCTTTCAGCACGAGTTCATCGAGTACCGGAGCCGTTACCATTTTCTCCATCTCTTTAGCAGCAGCAGCTTTCTTCAACTCTCCAGCTTCACGCGCCTCCTGTTTGTGCAGCTCCTGGATGACGATCTCATCCTTTGGCGGTGACGATCTCAGACTTGGCCTGCTCGATGCACAATGCCTTGATCCTCCGAAAGCGCTTCTTAGCCGCATCAGATACGGTGAGCTCGGGGTCGGAGCTGAGGCCTTGTATGTAGTCTTCAAGGTTGGCCGCCAGAACTGCCACGTGAGAGGCGGATGCTGACTGAATTTCCTCAACCTCCGTCTGCTTGGACTTGATGAAATCTTCGTGAATGCGCTTCTGGTTCTCGAGATGAACAGAGGCGACCGATGCAGCCGACTTTTCCCGCGTCAGAGGGTACTTGGTCTGGAACTCCACGACCTTGGTGCGAAGGCTGTGAAGAATCAGACCTTGCTCATGGAGGGCCTTCATCTTCTTCAGTTTCGATTTCGCCTTGAGGAGTGCCTTGAAGTCCGTCCTGAAGCCCTTGACCGCCGCCGCCGTCCAGCCTTGAAGGGCTCCGGAATGTGAGACACGCGATCGGTAGTCGGGTTGATAGGAGCCTGATCCACAGGCTTGCCGTCTTTCTGGACGTCCATGTCGGCCATGTCGGGAGAATCTTCAGATTGCTTGTCTTGCTCGTCTTCCTCGCGAATCGATGCGGAATTTCCAACTCCTTTGCCGGTGCGGGAACGCTTGTATCCTGCGTAGGTCTTGGAGGAGTGGTCCGCTCCGCGTGGAATCAGTGCGAAACTCGTATCTTCTTCGCCAGCGTCACCCAAAGAAATTGGGAAACCCAATGAACTCGTAGCCATTAAGCGTTAGGGTGGGCTGCAGCGAAGAGGAAAAACTTTAGCAAAAAGAGTGACAGTAGGTAAATTGATACCCCTGTTGAAAACCGAGAATTCGAAGTTCCGAACTCAACTCCACTAGAAGATTAAAATGCAAACTAGTTTCGGCTGACTGGGACAGGCCCCAAATCAGACCTTCATCAGTGCTGGTGGAATTATAAAAGTGAGTTTACAAGCGAGCTTTTAAACAGAAACTGCACTACGAGAACAACAACTTCAAGGTTGGAACAACCGTGACTGAAATCTGGTCAGCAAATCCAAAACACCCTGGAAAGCTCCAAGGTGTCAGGTCTTCATTCCTCGGGACGTGTCGTGGATAACCCACATCTTGCCAGCTGGTGCTCAGGGAGCCTCGCGTGAACGAGTAACTTTTGCAAGTTATGCCCAGCCTTCCATGCGACAAAAATTATCTCAGTGTATAATCCGTGTCTAATGAGTCGATTTTGAGTCGACTCAAAAATCGACTCATTACACACTCAACTTCTTCCCTCTTTCTGCACGTCCCTGTTCCACTCTCTGCTCCTCTCACTCTCTCCTCACCTTTCTGCCCTCGTGAGGAGGCCGGCATGAATGGGCGCTAGGGGCCAGCGTGAAAAAGCTCGAGGGCCGGCTAGGACGGGCGCGAGGGGCCGGCAGGAACGGGCGCTGGGCGCGCGGGCCGGCGAGAACGGGCGCGAGGAGGCCGGCAGGAACGGCGCTAGGGGGGCCGGCGTGAACGGGCGCGAGGGGCCGTCAGGAACGGGTGCTAGGGGGGGCCAGCGTGAACGGGCGCGAGGGGCCGTCAGGAACGAGCGCTAGGGGCCGGGGGAACGGACGCGCGGCTAGCAAGGAACAGCGCGACTAGGGGAATGGGCGGCTAGGACCTAGAGCGGAAGCGTGAGCGGGCAGCGGGACCTACCTACTGCTGATACCATCTTACAACTGAATAATGGATTAGAATAGGAGGGTACAAGGTAATATAAGCTAGTGAGTTGAACCCTCTAAGGCACAAACCTGTATAGTCTACTGCAACATACTAAGATAAGTATGACAAAAATAACTTTTCAATCAGCATCCACCTCTGAAAAAAGGCCAGCCAATCAGCATTACCCTATCCCAAAACCCTGAAAAAAGGCTGAATCAGCGTTAAAAGTCTGATATCTAGGGGCCTGGTCCATAACAAATGTCTTCTGCATGCCGTATGACACAAGTTCACTCAGCAACGGGGTGAGTAAGAAGTGGAAGATTCTTTCCCATTCTCATGTGACCCCTCTCCCACTCCCACACTACTTCAACGATGCCTTGAGAGCATGGAAGGCGTCTTCACAGCAGCGAAGGAGAAAGGCTGGATCGGGCACATTCTCCTTCAGAGCTGACAGCACTATGTGCGCCGAGCCGTTGTACGTCTGGAAATGCAGAGTGAGCGCCTGATGGAGGGGAGAGGCGTCGCGGGGAACAGGGGCAGTTGTAGAATGCAGTGTCAAAAGGGTGGATCAAATACATCCTCCCCTAAGTCTGACAGTATTATGGCGCCAAGCCAGGTGGGGCCTGGCTTGGCGCCATCACTCACCCCGCACCTACTGCCCATCACTCACCCCAACCTATCGCCCATCACTCACCCCAACCTATCGCCCATCACTCACCCGCACCCATCGCCAATCACTCACCCCAACCTATCGCCCATCACTCACCCCAACCTATCGCCCATCACTCACCCCAACCTATCGCCCATCACTCACCCCAACCTATCGCCCATCACTCACCCGCACCTATCGCCCATCACTCACCCCAACCTATCGCCCATCACTCACCCCAACCTATCGCCCATCACTCACCCCGACCTATCACCCATCACCCACATCACTCACATGCGGCTGCCCCACAACGGTGGGGCTGATGCGGGCGATGGCATGGCCGCCCAAGCTGACCTCCTCCACAGGCCCCATCATGTTGGAAAACGAAATGGTGGTCTGCTGGAACAGGCGGTGCATCAGCGCTCCCGCTGCCTGGAAGCGGAGGCAAGATCAAGAGAGGTGGCAGGGGAGGGGGTTGGGACCTCCTCCACGGGCCCCATCATGTTAGAAAAGGACATGCTGGTCGGATGGCATGGCACTGGCTGTGTGCACAGCGCTGCTGCTTGCTTGGGGGGTTGAGAGGGGTTAGGAGCGGGGTTCAAGAGGAATCAGGGAGAGAGATATGACCTCCTCCGCCGGGCGCATCATGTTGTGAAACGAAATGGTGGTCTGAAGGCACACGCCGTGCATCAGGGCTCCTGCAGCTTGGGGGGGAGGAGGGGAGAAGGTGGGTAGGGGGGGGAGAGGGGAAGGGGGGGGGGGGAGGGGGGAGGCGAGACAAGTGAGCTTGAAAAGACAGGCAGAACATCGTTTTGAGGCGTCTCAAAACTTGAAAAGGCAGGCAGAGCATCGGTGTGAAAAGGCAGGCAGAGCATCGGTGTGAAAAGGCAGGCAGAGCATCGGTGTGAAAAGGCAGGCAGAGCATCGGTGTGAAAAGGCAGGCAGAGCATCGGTGTGAAAAGGCAGGCAGAGCATCTGCCTGAAAAGGCAGACAGAGCATCGGTGTGAAAAGGCAGGCAGAGCATCGGCCTGAAAAGGCAGGCAGAGCATCGGTGTGAAAAGGCAGGCAGAGCATCGGCCTGAAAAGGCAGGGTGCTGCGAATCAGCGCCGCAGCTGCTTGTGACAACTGAGAAGGGCGCGCATGGGCAGAAGGTGGGGAAACACAGCAGGAGTTTGGCAGAGAACAGAGGCAGATGAGAGGAAATAAGGCTGGAGGGGGGGGGGGGGGGAGGGGGGGGAGAGAGCTTATGTTCATGCCAGCAGCGCCGACTCGCCGAGCAGAGGCTGGCATGCACATAGTTGTAGTGGGAAGCTTTTGAGTTTACTCAAAAACGGAGAGAGTTTAACTTCACGAGGGAGTCGGGCTCGTGTCGGGCTTTTTCCCGCTACAACTACACCCGCGCCACATAATTGTAGTGGGAGGAATCGACAGCACGAGAGACAAAAGAGGGCCACACGAGAAAGAGATTGGAGAAAAGCACCTTCATGCCAGCAGTGGCGAGCACGAGGCGTGCATTGACATAGTTGTAATGCGCCTCCAGCGACTGACGCTTGGACGCACACATGGCCGCCACCATGCACAGCCGCCGCCCCTCCACCTCCCCTGCTGCCTGCTCATCGCTGCTCTTAAGCCGCCCCACCACCTCCCCTGCCGCATTTTCGTCAGTGTTCTTCACATTTGCCCCCTCCGTATTCGGCAGCCCTTTGGTGAGCGAGGGCGAGTGCACGGGCAAGGGCAGCAGGAACGTGCTGAGGCAGTTGCCCCAGCGCGCCTTGGAGCGACCAGCGAGCATCGAAGCCATTTCCTGGGGAAAGAAATTGAGGAGCACAGAGGAGGGGAGGCGGAAGAAGGGAGGGAGGGAGTGCATGGGAAGAAGGGAGGGAGGGAGTGCATGGGAAGAAGGGAGGGAGTGCGGGGGAAGAAGGGAGGGAGTGCGGGGGAAGAAGGGAGGGAGTGCGGGGGAAGAAGGGAGGGAGTGCGGGGGAAGAAGGGAGGGAGTGCGGGGGAAGAAGGGAGGGAGTGCGGGGGAAGAAGGGAGGGAGATTGATGACAGCAGGGGGTTTGGTCAAGCGAGCTGAGACATGGAAGGTGCAGTGCGGTGATGGCATGGTGCAGTGCGGTACTGACATGGTGCAGTGCAGTGCAGTGGATGCCAGGTTTTGTTGGGGAAGGTATACCTGGACACCAGGCTTGCTTTGGGAAGGTTCTCCCAGGTATACCTTAGACATTGAGTTAGCAAAAAACCAGGGAAGGTTTACCTGAAGTCCAGGCGTGGGGCGGATGTTGACAACGCAGAGCGCACTGAGGCGAACAGAGGGGGGCAGCGGGCAGGTGACGACTGGGGCAGGCTCTCCTGGAGACACTGAGGGAATGGAGACGTGGTATGGAGGAAGGAGAGGAATGGTGGGAGAGGGAGGGGAATTTCGGGAGGGGAAAGGGGTGGTTTGGAGAGAGCGAGGGGGCGGTTAGGAGAGGGAGGAGAGGGTGGTTAGGGATGTATGGGGGGGTTGCCGGAAGCAAGGGATGGTTGGGAGGAGGAAAGGATGATTTGGGATGGTGGTGATGAAACTCACTCAATTGCTCGCTCAGCCTGGTCGTGGTGGCACCGGAGGAGGCAACCAACCTGCTGCCTTCCGAGCAGCCACCAACCTCAAGCGCTGCAGATCATGCATTGTTCTGTGATATACTCTGGTACCTGCTTATAGTGAATCTAAGTCACCTGCCTCCTTAGCCTGGGCGTGGTGGTGCTGCAGGTAGCGGTCCAGCCCGCCTGAGATGATCGTCACCGAGACGTCGTTGATGGTCTGAGGGGGTTATGGAAAGGGGTTGTGGAAAAGGGTTGTGGAAAAGGGGTGGCGAAAGGGGTGGTGAAAGGGTTTGTGAAAGGGGTTGTAAAAAAGGAGTTGTGGAAAGGGGTTGTGGAAAAGGGGTGGCGAAAGGAGTGGTGAAAGGGGTGGTGAAAGGGGTGGTGAAAGGGGTGGCGACAGGGGTGGCGAAAGGGGTGGTGAAAGGGGTGGTGAAAGGGGTGGTGAAAGGGGTGGTGAAAGGGGTGGCGAAAGGGGTGGCGAAAGGGGTGGTGAAAGGGGTGGTGAAAGGGGTGGCGAAAGGGGGAAAGGGGTGGTGAAAGGGGTGGTGAAAGGGGTGACGAAAGGGGTGGTGAAAGGGGTGGCGACAGGGGTGGCCAAAGGGGTGGCGAAAGGGGTGGTGAAAGGGGTGGTGAAAGGGGTTGTGGTATGGATTGTGGAAGGAATTTCAAGCATACACTCACAATGATGTCAATAATTGAATGATGGGCAGCTGAGCACGCTGTGAACATGGTCATGGTCTCAAGCTGAGTAGTTACTGCACAACACAGTGCGGCACGGCATGGTGTGGCATGGCATGGTGTGGCATGGAATAGCACTGTATGGCGCAGCATACCATGGCAGAGCAAGGCCCAGCCAGCCCCATGCAACTCACTGCACCAAAGGCTCTTCGGACCCTCGAAATGTCACTCAGGGACAGCGGCCCGCTCACTCCAAACACAAACCTCCCCCCATTCTCTCCCCCCCCATTTCCTCCCCCACCTTCCGCCCCTCCTCTCCCCCCATCCGGCTGCTGTACCACCGCACCTCCTCCCTTCTTCCCCTTCTTCCCCTTCATTTTCACACACGTGTCGGTGTCAGCGCGCCACATCAGCACAGCCATGAAAGCCGCCACGTGCCACAGAGTGTTCCCCAGCACCAACGCCACCTGCCACGCCCTCCTCCGCACCCCCACCACCCCCTTCACCCCCCTCGCCCTCCCCTTTCTCCACCGCACTGCCTGCCCCTTCCTCCCTGGTAGCACCCCCCCCTGCTGCAGCCTGTGCTGCTGTGGGCGTGTCTTCTGTCAGCCCGTCTGGCTGCGGGGTGAAGGGCGAAGCAGTCATCGAGTCAAGGGTGAACGCCGACGCTGCCGACGGCATGTGCAGCTGACCCTGCGGCTGGCCTGGCTTTAAGTTCTCTTCCTCAGTCTGATCCGCATCAACCAGCTGCTCCTGAAGCTCTTCACTCACCACCAACCCTCCACTGCTCTCCTCCTCCCCAGCGTCTCCATTTGAGCCACCTTGCTTGCTCCTTTGCTTCTCGTCATCAACCCCGCTTGCTGCCGTTCCCGCGGGGACTTGAACGGCGGCTGGGAGGGGCTCTGGCGCTTGGCGCCGGGGATGGTGGGTAGGAGGGCGGGGTCGTCGGTGCGGCGCGTGCAGGCCAGCAGGAGGGACATGAGCGACACGCCGTCGCCCAGGGAGTGGTGGATGCTGGAAATGGGCAGGCGGGGAGGGGCGGGGGGAGGGAAATTGAGAGAGAGAAAGAAAGACACAGCATGCGACATAAGCATGGAGGAGGGCGGGGCGGTGCGGGGCACATGCAGGCCAGCAGGAGTGACGTGAGCGGCACATCTGGTGGGGAGGGAGGGGGCAAAGAGAGGAGAGCGAAGGAGATGTTCTGTTAGGAGGGCGGGGTTGTTGGTGCGGCGCTTGCAGGCCAGAAGGAGAGACATGAGCGGCAAGCCGTCGCCCAGGGAGTGGTGGGTGCTGCGAATGGGCAGACGGGGAGGGGTGAGGGGAAGGGGTAGAGGCAAGGAATGGGAGGTAAGGCGTCAAAGGCATGAGCGACAAACCGCTGCCCAGGGAGTGGTGGATGCTGGGGGGGAAATGGGGGGAAAGGGGGGAAGGGGGGGAGACGGCAGTATTGTGTAAGTGAAAGGCCAGTAGGCGCCTTGAGATGGTGGAAAACAGACGTCTGTGCCGTATCAGATCAGAAGAGCAGTGCGCGACCTTGCCAAAAGAGAGCAGCAAGCGAAAATGGGGGAGGGGAGGTATGCAAATTGACTGGCCAGAGAGGGCAAGATTGGCTGAATGGTGCCATTTTGCTGCAGTCTGTTACTGAGGCGCCTCAAGAGCAGAGTGAATCATTACCGGAAGAGAGCAGCAGATCGGCCGTGGGGCAGAGACACCAGGTGCACGCGCCAGAGAGGGTGGGAGGGGTCGAAGGGTGGCATATGCTGCAGGCGCCGCATGTGCCACTCCACACTCCCCTCCTCGCAGCACGGCGATTCCGACTCCGCGCTTCTTGATTCTGCCGGTCTTGCAGCTTCCTCCGCGCCCCCTGCTCCCTCGTTACTGTCACATTGGTCGGATTCTGTGCCTTCCACGACGTGGTAGGCCAAGTCGACTTGCGTGCGCACCCACACCTGCTCGCCGCCGTTGCAGCCACGTTTCTCCTGCCACATCATTTCGTTTTCATGAACGAAGCACATAAGATGAGTTGGTGAGAAATCTCATAACCAGCTCACCATTGTCATGCGTGACGCACGTGATGCGCACATCGCAGGCAGAGAATGATGCTTCTACGCGCCTGAAAACGATGACTAACATCCACGAATTTTCTGCATTACTAGCATTATAACCTTGGGAGCAGCGTGGACGCACAACATTGCGTTTGGTTTTGAGGCGCCTCAGAATTAGACCTTGGAGCAGCGTGGACGCACAACATTGCGTTTGGTTTTTGAGGCGCCTCAGAATTAGACCTTGGGAACAGCGCGGACGCACAACATTGCCTTTAACAGACAGGAATCAGAAGACGGCGGGAAAAACGGCCTCGTATAAGGCGACGCGCGTCGTCCAATTTGGTTGGGACGAGCGGATCAAAACGGGGACGATGCTATCAAACGAGCGAATTCTATCGAGACAGTCGGATTGGTAACGAGCGGATTGCAATCGGACGACCGAATTGGCGCAGTAAAATGAATGGCGTTACTGAGGCCCTTACTACCTGCTCAGTCCTCCACTACCAGGAATTAAAGCCTGCGACTTTCGTCTGCCAGGAATTAAAGCCCGCGACTTTAGCCTACCAGGAATTGAAGCTCGCGTCTTTCGTCTACCAGGAATTGAATTCCGCGTCTCGTTGCGATGAGAGTCGGCCTAGGTGAAATGGCTTTACCATGCGACTGTGAAACCGAGGATGCTTCAAAAGGGTATCCGAGAGGATCGTCCGGAGCTCGTCGATCGCCAGGCGGTCTTTAAACTCCAGCGCGCACAGCACGGTGGTGTAGAACACGTCCGACAAGAAGAACCGAGCCGTTGGCGACAGCGGCTGAGCAGAGTCGCTTTGCTCGTTCAGCTGCGTTGACGCCGCGTCTGCTGCGTCGCCTTCCGCACATTGCGGTTTCACCTTCACGGGCGCAAGCTTCGGGTGATCCATTCACGCGGCGTGCGTAGAAGTTAGTTTTCAAGAATTCTCAAAGGGGAACGCGAGAAAGGACACTACCCGAGCTTGCTCACATCGACCCGAGTTATTTTCTGACAACCGTTGCATGCGAAATGATGAAGGCGTGAAGTTGAGGGTGTATCAGTTGTCACACCAAGCTCACACGGGAGGGGAGTGGCGCGGCTCTGGCTGTGGCAAAGGCGATCACTACAACTTTGGGTGGGTGATCAGGTCAGGAGTCAAGCACCCCTCGCAACACTAAAATGGGTGGAAGGACGGCAGCCATGGATCCAAGAGTGATTGGGGAGGTAGAACGGTTGCACCGAGCCTGCCCCTAGCCTTGGGTCGACATGGGTGAACCAGGGTTTTCTTGATAAGCCCGAGCGTGGCTGGTGTGTTTAGCTGGTACGTACGAGCTGGTTCAGTTCGGCGCCGCCTTCCAGACCAGCATTGCTGACCATTTGGAGAGGCACGCGCAGCCGGAGCAAAACCGTACCACTCGATTAGGCTCACACATCACTGTGCCGCAGGATGTGGATCCCACGGCCGCCATGAACTCTTCAGTAACTTCAGATGTTATGATATCATTCTGAGAAGTGTAGAAGAATGCACTAAAGGGAGCCTATGATGAATGAAGATACAAATAATTTGCTAGGCTATGTGTAGCATAGTCCTACACAGGAAGTAGATTTTCCTTACACCTTCCCCCTACTAGAAAAGACTACCCACATCGGGCATGTCGTTGGCATAAATAGGACAGCACTATGCGTGAGTACCGAGTGAGTACCCACAAATGGTCTTTGCTGGTCTGATCAACCCATCGAACCAGGAAATCCATGCAGCACTGACATCAGCCGCGTCGAACTCGATGGGCCAAGATCTTGTGTAGCTCACGGTAGGTACGGGTGCTGGTTGGGTCACTGAATATAAGCATTGACTGTCAAAATTAGTTGTGTCAGGGACGAAATATCAAAGCAGACTAGCATGGGGGGCGTCATGAATGCGCCAATAACATGTGTCGCCTTCTTTTGAATTCAGTTAAGACCACACTGCTTGCATACTGTAAACTAGCTATGTGCAGACTATAGTAGGGATAGCCCCAATACAGGTACCCTATTCTGCATGTGTCAAATCAGCTCATTCTCTCACTTTCACATGGTATCATCGCTAGGTTAATTCCTAGCCCCCACGCTTCCGCACTAGGTGCTCCCACTCCTCTCCTGCCCTAGCCTACGCTCCTAGCCTAATTTAGGCCCTAATCTGCCACCCTAGCATGCGCCCTGGCCTGCGCCCTAGTCCTAGCCCACTACCCGCACTGCCCGCTGATCGCGCTACCCCATGCCCCAGCTCCGCGCCGCCTGCTGCTCGCCGCCAGCTCTGCGCCGCCCACTGCTCGTCGCCACCTGCGTGTCGCCCACTGCCGTCAGCTGCTTACAGCCCACCGCATGCCCGCTCGCATGCCGCCAGCTGGCTCGACGCCCACTGCTCGCAGCCCTGCCGCCTGCCCGCTCGCCCATCGCCCACCAACTCGCCGCGCCCGCTCGTCGCCGGCCGGCTCAAACGTCGTAGGACCGCTCGCCGCCCACAGCTCGCCATCCCCTGCCTACTCACTCGTCACCCGCTGCTTGCTCGCTCGCCCTCTGCCAGCCCTCAATTCGAAGTGCCGCCATTTGCCGCTCCAAAACCACAGCCACCACCGCTGTTGCAGGAGAGTGTACACCCTTCAGAGCAGCCCATGCCTTTGGTCCCTTTGCTGGTTCATGCTGAAAAGGCTTGATGTGAAGGATTTGACTGCTCCCCAACACTTGCCCAAGTAGAAGATAGCCTTCTGCCCTCTTCCGCACCCACAGGATCTTCTCCGGGTCGTTCTCGGAGCGCTTCTCCGTTCCTTCCATCACCTCCAGCAGATCATATTCGTCAAAGATGTTCTCCATCTTAAAGGACCACTCAGCAAAGTTGTCACCGTTGAACTTGTCAAGGCCAAACACTCTAGGCTCATCCCTAGAGGGGCCAAGGCTAGGTTGCAAGGAGCAACGGGTGGATCTTGGTGTTGAACTTGTGCTTGGGCTGGCAGGAGGTAGAGCAGCCACTATAGTCTTAGAAGTACAAACTTAGCAAGAAGAATCGAGATTGAGATGGTTCCCAGCCTCTACAAACCCCAAGAGCCGAGGTCCAGGTTGGTGGTAAACCACCACTGAGTCCCCAACTATGAACAATCTCGAAACAAACCCAACAAGGGGCTACACCAAGTGAAATACAAAACTATACGAAGTAGCATTACTATTTTCATTATTTTAATATTTATTTGTGTCCATGGGCTTGAAATCTTGAGCTCTTGGTTTTGGTTCTGCAAGATAAATTCTTTTTGAGTTGATGAGGGCTTGCTGCACTCACCTGCGGCGCAATGGACACTTCACAATCGACAAAATAGAAAAAAACACATGCGACGCGCAAACAACGACTTGACCGACACAAACCTCATTGTGATACACCATTCAAGCACACACACGAGCACTACATAGCAATGACATAGACTCACAAGTCATTCTATGCCATGCATGCACACACACGAACAAGGACGATAAGCCGAGTGCAAGCCATAGGGTTGCAATAACAGATGCAACTGATGCGCCGAGGGTGTGGACCGCGCCATGGACGGATATGAAGAAGCCGCCAAACCGATGAGGACCCTATGAATTTGCTTAGCTAGGGCCACAGCACCACACCCAAATCTGACACTAGGTGGTTGTGCCAGCACAAGCTGCCAGCAAAGTGGACATGCGTGGCTCTTGTGAGCGAGCAATGGGGGAAGATTATTGTGGACAATGTGTGCTAGCTGGATTTCATAGTGTTTTATGAGTTCAGTGTTAACTGTTTCCTTTGGTAGTTTGCGTGCTTCGTAGCTGCTGATTTCCGCGCGTCGTGAAAATTGTGTGGTAGCTGTTGGATTTGTATGAGTGCATGCAAAAAGCTTGCATGCAACGTGAAGGGGTTTTTTGCAGGCCAAGAAGTTGCCTGCCAGATGTCGGAATTCTGAGGCTGAGTGTTGCACGCAAAAAAGGAAAGTGCAGTTTACATTAGAGCACCTTCCGAAAGCGAGAGATTTTGCTTCGGATCGAGGGTCAGCCCGCAATTTTTCACCCAAACTTGGCACAACGTACCCGAACCTGGTTACATCGACATGTCTGCAGAACAGCTCCATCTACAGATTACATCTACGTCAGGCAAACACCCCCCTCAGTTCCCTCCCTGGCAAATCTGACGCAAACGTGACGCAACTCTGACGTTCGCTCAATCGCGGAGTTCACCTTGCGTCCGGCGTTACATCAGGCGCAAGGGTGTACTAGGCCTCCACACCCCAAAAATACAACCGCCACCACTTTAGCCCACCTCGCGTACCTAGGCCTGCCCTGCAAAAAAACAGCATAGTTACTCCCCATGCGTTCACAAGTATTTTCTCTAACGCGTTCCTAATTAGTCTCCCAGTGCCTAGCGTCCTGTAACTGCTGCGCGTACTGTCCCTTCGGTGTATTTCTAATGGGTCGAACAACTCTCCGTCTATTGCGCTCTGAGGGATCAATGGACTAAGGTGTTCTGTTGGGAGGCAGTGGGGTTGTGAGGGCATCTCACCAAACACAACGCTATTTTTTCGTCATTTTGCCCCGTAATATATCTCTGCTGCCCTGGGGCAGCAGTTTTTTGTTGCGCAATTTTGAAAATCTCTCCTCTCTCCTTTCGCTTGCGCTTTCCAGGAATATATAACGCGCGTTCTGTTCCAGCGGACAAACCCCCTCCCGGGACCTGGCAGACCTGGGCAGTAACACCATAGAACACAAACCGGACCTGAACGGACCTGGCTCAGTGCGCGAGTGATATATCTCTAGATATATGACCGCACTAACCTTTAAACACTCTCAACCTCTATCGGTCGGTGGTGCTTTCGCCAACCTCGTCGAACGACGGTAACGACGTCGCAGCACGCCGCGGTTCCCCTCGCAAGCGTCGTGTGGGAGGGTATGTTTTCGCATTGAGGCTCTGTTGCCGAGTTCAAGCCTTTACAGTTCGGGGGAGTTGTACTAGAAGCATAGTAGTTGTATGCTTTGGTTCTACATCCATTTATTAAAATGGAGAGTAGAATTGCACCACGTTTTGCATTTACATTTGTGCGTCTTTTTATACCAAAATCACCTCACAGGAGTTCCTCCCAGTACATTTGCAATGTGTAGAAGGTGTTTCCAAACTTTGTGAAATTCAACATGTCGAAGTTGAGGTGGCACTAAAAAGACAACACATGCCCAACACTTTCATTTCATGTCCTGGAGTGCAGGGTCACTAGAACAAGCCATAGTTTTTGATGGAATTTGGTTGTTCACACAATTGCAAGGCTTCCAGCAGTGTGCAATTTGTTTTTCAGGTTTAGAAAACTGTCTATTTCATTGCAACAAGATGGAACTTTGGGGAGCCCAACCTCTGATAAAACATACTGGCATTTTCACAATTTTGCGTCATCTCTAGCGAGTTTTGAAGTGACCTGGAGGTAGCCCTATGCAAGACCTACCTCCAGTTCAAATTTGGGCCTTTTTGGTTCACGAAATTGGGCTGTGGGCTTTTTTTAATATCCCAAGGGGGGAATTTTTTTCCAACCTTACCCCTTGATAAAACATACTGCCATTTTCACGATTGTGCATCTTTTTTAGCAATGTTTGAAGTAACCTGGAGGTAGCCCTATGCAAGACCTACCTCCATTTCAAATTTGGGCCCTTTTTGTTCACGAAATTGGGCTTTGGGCCTTTTTTAATATCCTAAATAGGGTATTTTTTTCCAACCTTACCCCTTGATTAAACATACTGCCATTTTCACGATTGTGCATCCTTTTTAGCAATGTTTAAAGTAACCTGGAGGTAGCCCTATGCAAGACCTACCTCCATTTCAAATTTGGCTCTTTTGGTTCACGAAATTGGGCTGTGGGCCTTTTCTAATATCCCTAGGGGGGTATTTTTTTCCCAACCTTACCCCTTGATAAAACATACTGCCATCTTCACGATTGTGCATCCTTTTTAGAGATGTTTGAAGTGATATGGTGGTAGCCCTATGCAAGACCTACCTCCAGTTCAAATTTGGCCCTTTTGGTTCCTGAAATTGGGCTGTGGGCCTTTTTTAATATCCCTAGGGGGGTATTTTTTCCCAACCTTACCCCTTGA